ATTTTACCCTGAAACTATTCGCGATCACCTCTTTTCATTGACTGAGAGCCAAATACGCATGGGTATAATATACGTTCTGGTAATAAATGCCCAAGTGGAATGTGCGTACATATGCGCGCTCTGGTGATAGTGGCCAGGCAAAATGCGCGCATATATGCGCTTATGATGCAAATGGGTTAAAAGAAATTTCAATGAAAAACTCGTCCTCGATTTTGAGAAAGAAGGAATTTTTATTCAATTACAATAATTGTCAAAGTTCAGATTTCAACAATCTTTCGTGAGTCGCAGGCTTGCAATTACACTACGGTTTCGCAGGCTGCGTAGAAAGCTCAGGGCCATTTTCATTTCCTTTATTGGCTACCCGGTACGGTTCTTCCGCGGTGCTGTTATTGTTACGCTTAAAAGCGAGCAGCCGTTGCGGGCAATCGTACGAAACATTTTTAACTAAATTATTAAAGAAAAGTCCGGTAAGTGGATTAACTGATGTTCCACGGGATGATTTAATCAGTTTAAAATCTTAAAAGCGCCGTGGGAAACGTTTCTAATCGACGGGCAGCGGTGGCGTATCGCTTTATCGATATCTCGCCTGTCACACTGTAAATCAATGAAATTTGTTGCCCCTGCTCGTGCTTTACTAAAAAATGGGCTACGTGACTAATATTTCATATTTCTTTTCATATTTCGTTTCGTTTCTTTAAACAATTTATCGTTTCATTTTTTATTCTAACATGCAATTATTCTCTGGCTTTAATCTCTTTCATTATTCTAATTATTGTTGTAATTTAATAAATAATTTCATAGATTAATTACAGATCTTGTACTCTGAGAGTTAATAATGAGTTTGAAAAGAAAAAGTTGTTCTAGCTTCGAGTTTCTTGACGAGCCGAGGATTCAAGCCTCTCGTAGATTCGCATCAGGGTTTAACCACGAGACGGGTGGCGAAACTAGGGGAGGATAGGACGACGCGACAGGGCTAGGTCTCGGTCGCGGTCGTTTTCGAGCTTATTAGAGAACAGCGGATGTAGCATGCGCGACTTTGAACCCTGCCACGGGGTTTTGCCATCGACTTTCGAGATATGTATCTTAATCGCTCGTTTTTGCAAGCATTTAACCACGCTGAGTCGCAGCTCGACCTTAAGCTCCTCTTCGAGTCAGTGACGTGCATGAAACTCTGAATAACAGAATACGCGATCTGAACGTCAAAAGCATCCACTTCTTATTGATCTTTTTATGTCCTTGCAAAAGTCAATTAGCTTCCTGTATGTCCTCAGAATTTTTCTATACTTTTTGTATTTAAATATGTACTTGCGTTCTAGTTCTTCTTTTAACTTTTCATCAATTTAGAATTTTATTAGAAGTGATAGTTTACTTGTGAAAAATGAATCAGAAATTGTTTCACGTAGGAAATCTCATGTTGTATCCGGATGCGTTAGAGAGTTAAGATCATCCCCGGGGAAATTTCACAAACTTATCCGTGACTATCTTTCATAATAAACTTTTCTGAAAATTATCGTTTCATAAAATGCACTTCTTTCTACCCTTACGAGACAGTTGGAACACTATTGTCGAATGTGTACTAGAATATGTCAGACAAATAGTTATTTTCCTTTCATATATTATAGTAAATGTCCTAATTCTGTTCACAATTTCTAATCACTGCCTTCTTTTCATAATTGTATGTGCAATCTTAAGCCAC